GGGTTTAATCTACAACACAACCCCCCAACACACATTTAAGATAAGTAAGTTCTTAGGATTTAATATATAGTATGATGGCTATAGTTAGTAATACCATATTGTATACTGGAAAATTGCTGAGACTTTAAATGCTTTTATCACAAAAAACCAATTATGGGCCATTGAGATGACTCAGAGGGTAAAGTTTGCTGCACACCACGGAAAACTGAGTTCAACCCTTAGAATCCAGAGAAGTAACTTAACAGAGTTGTCCCTAACCTCCATAGCTGTGCCACAGAACATGCACCCACAAACATACATATAATAATAATAGATTTTAAACAAAAAATTTGAAGACATAACTGTTTGTTGTAATCATTTATAATATATGGATAGGTCAGGTCACTAGATTATATACTTTAAAATGTAGTATCTGGCAATTATATATAAATAAATCTGAAAAAATTAAAAAAGTTACCAAACAAAATATAAATTTCTAGACTGATGGAAAAATGAGAATAAAAGCCTGACACCCTGCGTTTGATCTGTGGGACCCACATGGTAGAAGAAGAGAATCAGCTCCTACAAGATGTAACCAGCATCTTGCACTTTCTCCAGCCTCTCGGCCCTGACTTCTACCTTTGCCCTGTAACACAAATGTAACCCTACCCTGCCACGATGGAAGGTAAACACAGCAGATGCCATTTCAACTTCACCTCTTCTACAAAATCTATAACCCTTTCTAACCTGAGAAAAGAGCAGATGATCCCCAACACAACAACATTCTTCAGACTAACTGGAGGTGATGAAAAACAAAAGTAGGTTGACAACTGTCACAGCAATTAAAGTCAACGTGGGATCTAGAAATGAATTTTGGACCTGGAACTTGCTGGCAAACATCTGGTGAAATGAGAATCGACTGTACAAGGAAACATTTTACCAATGTCAATTTCTTGCTTTTGACAAATGTGCCTTGGCTACGTTAACATTTGGAGAAGCAGGAAGAAGATATACAGAAGCTCTTGGTACTGTCTTCGCAAAGTTTCTGTAAATTTAAATTATTCTAGAGATTTATTAAAAATAAAAAGCATGAAAATTCAGACTAAACTACCAAACCTGGCATGGCCTACAGAGCACCATTTTGTCCACTACTGCTCATAGCTCATCTACTGTTTTTGTTGAAGAAGATGGGCCTTTCAAACAAAGAAAAACAAGTCTAATTAGTGCCCAAGACCATCTGAGAAGCTACCAAAATGTTGATTCCAAGGACATATAATAAAGACTTCTGAGAGAGTAGTTCGAAATTTATATTTTTAAAAACATCCTACATAGTTTTGAGGATTAGTACGGTTTGGAAGTTCTAGGATAGAAAACAATAGATTCTCTTATTAATAGTCAAATAGTAATATTTATTAACTAAAGAAGATAATTGTGATTAAAGACTATTTAGATTCAGCTATGAATTACAATAAAGGTAAATTTCCAAGAGTAAGCCTATTATTTAAAAAAATGGTTTTCAACTGACAATTATTTCAAAGGACATCAGGCAATGTCTAAAACCATTTTTGTTGTTGTTGCCACAACTGAAGAAATGTGTATCAAGAGGGCAGGAGCCAGAAATGATGTTCAACATTCTATAATGCACACAGCAGCCCTACTCAGGACAATTACCTACCTGAGAATGACTATTGCTTACCTTATTCCACCGTGTTAGAATATTAGCATCAAGTCGGCTTGCTATTCCACATGACCTAATAAACTCACTATTGGGCAGACTAAATTATTTTATCCATTTTAGGTGGTTTTGAGAATAAGATATATAATTTTTTAAAGTTTTTATTTCACTTTTATGTGTTATGGGAGCTTTGCCTGCATAAATGTGTGTGGACCATGTGCATGCAGTGCCTTTGGAGGCCAGAAGAGGGCATTGGATCCATAGGAACTGGAATTACAGCCAGTTGTCAGCCACCACTGAGACCAGAGAACCTGGGTGCTCTGGAGGAGCAGCCAGTGGGTGCTCTGAACTGCTGAGACATTGCTCAACTCCTCCAATGTTCAATTAAAACACACACACACACACACACACACACACACACACACACACTAGAAATACTGAAAGAACAGCATAAATATCCACCTTACCTTTAACTATAGTCACCAAGAGTCAAAATTTAGCCCCATAGGTTTTTTTAAACAATTATTTGTTTGTATATTTACTTATTTTTATAGATGTAGAGGTGTGGGCACTCATGCCATGGACACACTTATGGAAGTCAGAGGACAACTTGTGGGTATAAGTTCTCTCCTTCTTCCACGTGGGACTGAACTCAAGGTCATCAAGCTTGGTGGCAAGTGCTTTTACTCACTGAGTCATTTTGCTGGCCCCTACATATTATACATTAGTGCACACACATGCTTTATTCTTGTTTTGCTGACACCATGATACTCATAATGCATTTCCTACCTAATCACAATACTATTTCCATACCTAAGGAAATTAAACAACTCCTATCACCTTCAAACTCCTAGCTTAAAAACTGTATCAATCCCATATCAAATCAGGGTTCTCTCTTTGCATTAATTGTTATATCCCTTTAGATTATTTTAATCTAAAAGAGTTCCCTCACCTGAAGAAAGCTAGTTATCTTATAGAACGTCTTGTATTTTGGGCTTGGTTCATTGTTTCTTTGTGGTGTCATGTAACTTTCTTTCCTATCTTGGTTCAGTTAGCAATAGATTGAAAGATTCCCTTTCCCCAGATTTAGAAAAGAAAGGAACAAAGACAGAAGAGGTTGGAGGCAGAAAGAAGGTAAGAGACGCAGCCTATAATCATAAAATCCACCTGCTTTCTTTTTCTTTTCTTTTTTTAAAAATATTTATTTATTTATTATGTATACAATATTCTGTCTGTGTGTGTGCCTGCAGGCCAGAAGAGGGCACCAGACCTCATTACAGATGGTTGTGAGCCACCATGGTTGCTGGGAATTGAACTCATGACCTTTGGAAGAGCAGGCAATGCTCTTAACCACTGAGCCATCTCTCCAGCCCCCTTTTTTTTCTTTTTTTGAGACAGGGTTTTTCTATGTAGCCCTAGCTATCCTAGAACTCGCTCTGTGGACCAGACTGACCTCAAACTCACTGAGATTGGCTTGCCTCTGCCTTCCAATCCTGGGATTAAAGGAGTGTGCCACCATCGCCCCTTCCCTCTTTTTTTGAAATGGTCCTGAACTCCTTATATAGCTGAGAATGTCCTTGAACTCCTAAACTCCTCTTGCCTCTACCTCCCAAGTACAGGGATTACAGGTGTGGAGTACTTTTCCAAAGGTGCATAACAGTTATTAAATTACCTGCACTACTTTTTTTTGAGACAGGGTTTCTTTGTCTTGGACTCGCTCTGTAGACCAGCCTGGCCTTGAACTCACAGAGATTCACCTACCTCTCCCTAACGAGTGCTGAAATTAAAGGCGTGCATCACTGCTGCCCGGCCCCCCTGCATTATTCTTTGTAAGGTTTATTTGGTGATAGAAATGGAACCCAGGTCCTCATGCTATTCAAGCACTCTTACTACTCTGACCCCAACCCCCATTAGTCAATGGTCAAACTGCCCCCAAATTTTTCCAATGCAAACTCCTTCAAGCTGATTCTTTTGACCCGACATGAGTGCTTCAATCTTTAAGTACTTCCTGTAGACATGTTTTTTTCAATTAATTAATTATTTTATTTTACTTATTTTTATTTTATGTGAATTGGTGTATTACCAAGGGATGTCAGGTGCCCTGGAACTGGAATATTAGACAGCTGTAAGCTACCATGTGGATTCTGGGAATCAAACCTGGGTCCTCTGGAAGAACAGTCAGTGTTCTTAACCAGTGAGCCATCTCTCTAGCCCCAGAATCTCTTGTTTTTTTAAGACTTGATTGTATGACATTATTTCCTGAAATTCTGGTAACATCTGCTCATTGGTTTTAGTTCTGCTTTTTCCAGAAACAAAACATTTTACTACTTCCATGTGAAATGTTGTATTATTGAAAGACAGGTACTGTTTAGGTTGAAGCAATTCTATAAGACTTCTTTACTAATATTATACAAATATATAAACCCAATTCAGGCTACTGAATTCAATACTAACTCTTACACTTTAGGATATCCATTAGACTTATTGCTTAATTCCATTCCTAGAAGTTGATGAGAGTTTTAAGGTTCATTTCCAAGATTTTATTTGAATGTTCCTATGTCAAAATATATTCTGAGGTAGACTCAAGCACTGGATTGAATAAGTCATTGCCACTACCACAATAACTAAGAAAAAGATATGAAATTTTATGCTAACACTTAACAGCCCAATTACATAGAGCATTATTGCTTAAAATTATCGTAATAGTCCTTCTATGCTTTTTTCATACAGTTTTAGAGTTCATTATATTTTATTTATACATAAAGAACACACATACAGATGTGCCCTGTCTGTAGAGTATACCCAATTAGCATTCCATATTGCTATTCATACTGGCTTGGAGCCTTAAGCAAACAATGTCCCTACTCCCAACAGAAAGATAGTACTTTGGCCTCCAGAGTCAATATGCCTTTAAGAAAATATAGGCAAGCATCATCTTTTCAGCGGGGCAGGCAGATTCTAGCTCCTCTCTTTCGCACATTTCTTCACTATCTGAAACTTATTGCTGGTATTCACTTGCTAGGGAAAATTATAATTTTCACAAAAAGTTAATTATATGAAAACAGAAAATTAGTGACTATAATTCTTCTTTTTCAGTAGAGCCAACGCATATCCTTATTATGTAACAGTACAAAGGTAAAATAGTAATAAAATGACAACTAAAATAATACAGAAATGTGACCATTTAAGTACTAAGAGAAAGAACAGGAGAAAAGTGAGTTCTACAGTGCTTCTTGGGTTTTGGGGAAAACCGAACAAAAGAGAAAGAGAAGGCAACATGAAAGAAATGTTAAGAGAGTCAAAAAAGAAAATAACCAAAAAAGTACCCCAGTCACCCAGAAAATACCTTTGTTTAGAAGAAGAAAAAAGTCAGATGCCTTTTCTCGGAAAACCCTTTGAGCATCTTCAGCTTTCATTGACACTTCCTTTGTCTGCACTAGGAGAAACCCTTTACCAACCATCGGTGGAGAATAAAACTTCATTCAGATTGGAAAATGAACTTTTGGGATAAAAACAAGGTTTTGTTATTTGAACATTTTTCCATATATAATGCAACCCAGCATTCTGATTTTTGTTTTAGTTCTGAGTAATTCAGACTCCGCTGTCACTACTTTACAACTACTAACCAGAAGCTTAATTTGATGATACAGAAAATGTTCAATGAAAATTACCATAGTTCACTACAATTAACATAATTTGTTAAATATAATAAAGATGTTAAAATAAAACAGAAAAATACCATGTAATGTTAATTTTAAAAGCCATCACATCAATTTGTATAGTATATTGCAAGAATGATTGACCACACATAGGGGACCATTTGAAGTTTTCTGAATATTATACATATATACATACAAAATACATTTAACCTCTCATGAGATGGGTACCACCACCATCTTCCTTGTAGGGATGAGACAATTAAGATGTGACATGGTTAAGAACTTGCCCAAGGTCTATAAATTAACAGAGCTTTGATTTTAATTTAAGTTAATGAGATGGTGGATTAAAGAATTATTTTTCAGGATGGTGGCTTGTAGATGGAGGCTATTTGTTCATTTTCTGGCCACCCAGACCCAAAATAATCACAAAGAAACTATGTTAATTGCAATACTGTTTGGTCAATAACTTATGTGTGTTTCTAGCTAGCTCTTACATCTTAAAGTAATCCACTTCTATTGTTCTGTGTATTACCACGAGGTTGTGGTCTACTTCCTATATAAGAAAACAATTTCTTTGTGAAAACAATATAAAATGTGATTTTATAATGTTCCTCAGCAAATCAGAGTTGGTAACTGCATCTCCCAGTCTAAGCTGTCCTAATATAGCTGTGCTATGAAAATACTTAACTTTTATTTTTTTCAGAACTAGTTTCTTTGCTAACTCAAGTATAATTTAAATAGTATATAACCTGTCAACATAACATTTAGGTCTTTCCCTTTTCTTAGCATTAGCTTTCTTTCAGCACTGGGACAGCACAAGAGCTTTATGTTTAAGGGTTAATATACAGGAAGAGTATCAGCCTGCATGTATGAATCACAGCTCTGATGTTTACCAGCTAGCTGAGTGACTTTTGCCAAGTTATTTACCCTGTCTGTAGGTCACAGAGTTGTTTTGAACACTGAGTTAATTCATGTAACTCTCTTTACAAGTACCCGACTGGTAAAAAGTATGTAAGAGTAAGTTACTATTATTATTAGTGTAGGATTGTTATTTTTGCATTCCAGAAGGACATTTAAAGAACATCACTCTTCTAAGTCATATTCTTGCAAAGGCCATTTCACACATCAGATACCAAAAGTCAAAAGGTTCAGAGCATTGATGACTCACAAATAGACTGTGTTGATGGCTTTTTTTCTTTAAACAAGTTAGAATATCCTAATTATCTAACAAAATGGAGTTTAACTTGAATGATTAATCTTTGAAAATTATATGTAGTAAAAACTCACAGACAAAAGAAACCTCTCCCTCAATGGTGACGGGACAAGAGAAAATAAGGAGCCCAGTGTGGATGACACTGTCAAAACAGGGTCTAAAAGTTGTATTCTTAAACATCATTTCCAACCTCTAAACCAATTAAAACTCCAAAAAAAATTTCCTCATTAGAAAAATCATTAGCAAAGACTATGCTTCAATACGCAGTACTGTTGTGAGCATGTGTGGAAACTGTTTATGATGAAGAATGGAAAATCTTTGAGGCAAAGAAATGTATCTGTATGCCTTAATTTCCAGTATCACCTAGGTTCTATTATTTCTAAGTTGCAACTAATTACAAGGTATTTAAGCAAAGATGTGGAAAACAAACTTGTATCATATAATGAATGAAATATGATAATAGCATAACCTGCATATAACTGATGCTAACAAATGCTTACTAAATTAAATTAGATTTAAAGGTTGCATTGAGAAAGGATTTTGGCCGGGTGATGGTGGCGCACGCCTTTAATCCCAGCACTCGGGAGGCAGAGGCAGGTGGATCTCTGTGAGTTCGAGACCAGCCTGGTCTAGAGAGCTAGTTCCAGGACAGGCTCCAAAGCCACAGAGAAACCCTGTCTCAAAAAACAAACAAGAGAGAGAGAGAGAGAGAGAGAGAGAGAGAGAGAGAGAGGGAGGAAGGATTTTGTAGACCAAGAGATCTGCTTCTAAGGTAAACTTTGTGGATCCAAGGAATTCGAGGACTATAACTTGAGGGTTGCTAGTATTTCTAATAATTAATTTGTAAATAATTGATGCAGGATTTCACTCTGTATGCTGTGAATACCACTGGTGAATAAAGAAATTGCCTTGGCCTGTTGATAGGGCAGAACTTAAGTAGGCAGGGAAAGCTAAACAGAATGCTGGGAGAAGGAAGGCAGAGTAGAGAAAAGCCATGTAGCTGCCAGAGACAGACACTGGAACTTTACCCAGTAAGCCACAGCCATGTGGTGACATACAGATTAATAGAAATGGGTTAAATTAATATGTAAGAGTTAGCCAATAAGAAGCTAGAGCTAATGGGTCAAACAGTGATTTAAATAATATAGTTTCTGTGTGATTATTTTGGGGCTATGTGGCCAGGAACAAATAAGCGGCCTCCCTCCTACTACAAATAATAACAATAAATAAAACCTAGCAAGTCCTATCTATGTCTATTTCTCTCTCTCTCTCTCTCTCTCTCTCTCTCTCTCTCTCTCTCTCTCTCTCTCTCTCCTTACCTCATCAATTAATTTTCTGGCATTTGCAGTTGTATAATCATCAGCAAATAATACCACTAGGCATGACTCATCGCTGTCCTTCCGTCTCTGACCCCGGGATATGGGAACAATGCTTCTATTGGCTTCTGTAGAAATTCGTACAGCTTTGAATTCTTCAGTAGTTGGAATAGGAACATAGTCTTGAACCACAGCATTTTCTGGAAGAAGGCTCCAGTTGAGTTCTCCTGACACAGGTGTAAAATCATGAACATGACTCCATATATTATTGAAGATACTGAGCCCTGCATCTTTAAATTGGGCTGCTAATTCAGGGTAGTACCACTGAAAACATCCAAACTTGATATTTGTGGAAGATTCAATAATGGGTTGAGTGGCACAGCACAGAAAGACTTCCAACTTTCTACAGTCCCTCACACGAAATTGTTGGCAAGCTAATGTACACTTGCAATCTCTACAATTTCGGAAAAATACACTGCCTTTCACTGGTCCCAAGAAAAGTATGCAGTTGGTGCAGTCATCAATGGTAATGGTAGCTGAGTGATCAAAAATATAGATGTTACAGTTTTCACAGTCTTGAATGACAAATTGTTGTCCTGCCACTTTTCCAGGTAAGCGACCTACTGTTTCATCCTTCAGTCCACTGAAAATATAATCTTTTGGATCAACCTGCAGGGACAAAGCACAAGACCTTGAGTATTGTTAAGATATTCACCAAAAACATGTAAGTGCCTATGGGATACCAGACACAGTTGTTAATGCTAAAGCTTAAGTTTCCAATTTCATTGACTTTGCAATAAATTAGAAACCAATAAATAAAAGGAATGAGGAAGGAAAGGGGGAAGGAAACCAAAGTTCAAGGACACAATCAGCAAGTGCTTGGATCTTGTTCCAACCATTTCAGTTGTAAACTTTTTTAGGCAACTGGGGATATTCACACATATACACAAAGCCTATAACCTCAAGGACTTCTCTTTTTTTCATTTTCTAAGTGTGATAACAATACTGCTGTTACAGAGAGGTGAACTTGGCAATTTTAATTAATATAAAGTTTATAACCTTGATTAATATATATCTACCTCCCAAGAAATGGATCTGCTCTTTCTGCTATCAAATTTCATGCCTGGGCATGCAAAGCTAAAAGAAAGCCTGTGTGACTATGGTTTGGGTCTGCCTGTGAGTTAACCCAGGTGACATATCATCATTGCTACTATCAACAGTCTTTCAGCTTATTTGGAATCTGTGTGACCACAAAATAGTATGGAGTGCAATGGTAAAGAATATATTTTTAAAAACAATTATTCTAACAGAGTAGCTATGTAAGTCAGACATGAGAGTAGACACTTGCAATCCCAGCATTTGGGAAGCTGAGGCAGGAAGATTACTAGGAATTCAAGTCCAGCCAGGGCTACAGAGCAAGAGTCTGCTGCAAAAATATTGCTAAGAAAGTAAAGCTTATATCCTCTGCATCTATCCTAATCAGAACATACTATTTCAGCTGGAATGCAGCTCAGTATTAAAATGTGTGTTTAGAATGTAAAAGGCCTCCCAACCAAAAAAAAAAAAAGCCCAGAACCAGATGACTTCAGCACAGAATTCTACCAGAATTTCAAAGAAAAACTCCTCAATACTTCTCAAATTGTTCCACACAATAGAAACAAAAGGAACATTACCAAATTCTTTTTACGAGGCTACAGTTACACTGATACCCAAACCACACAAAGATGTGATTAAGAAAGAGAATTACAGACCAGTCTCCTTCATGAACATTGTGCAAAAATACTCATAACACACTGGCAAACTGAATCCAAGACACATCAGAAAAAACATCCACTATGATCATGTAGGCATCATCCCAGAGATGCAGGGATGGTTCAACATACAAAAATCCATCAACGTAATCCACCACATAAACTGAAAGAAAAAAAACCACATGGTCATCTCATTAGATGTTTAAAGGCCTTTGACAAAATCCAACACCCTTCATGATAAAGGTCTTGTAGATATCAGGGATACAAGGAACGTATATAAACATAATAAAAAGCAAATACAGCAAGCCGACAGCCAACATCAAGTTAAATGGAGAAAAACTCAAAGTGACTTCTCTGAAATTAGGAACAAGACCAGGCTGTTCACTCTTTTATTCATTATATCTATTCAATATGGTACTCACGGTTCTAGCTATTGCAATAAGGCAACAAAAGGAGATCAAGGGATACAAATTGGAAAAGAGGAAGTCAAACTCTCACTATTTGCAGATGATATAATAGTATACATAAGTGACCCCAAAAATTCTATGAGGGAACTCCTAGGGCTGATAAACACCTTCAGTAATGTGGCAGGTTACAAAATCAACTCAAAAGAATCAGTAGCCCTCCTATATACAATTGATAAAGGGGCTGAGAAAGAAATCAGAGAAATATCACACTTTATAATAGCCACAAATAACATAAAATATCTTGGAGTAACACTAACCAAAGAAGTGAAAGACTTGTACAAAGAACTTTAAGTCTTTGAAGAAAGAAACTGAAGAAGATATCAGAAAATGGAAAGATCTCCCGTGCTCTTGGATAGGTAGGATCAACATCATAAAAATGGCAATCTTACCAAAAGCAATCTATAGATTCAATGCAATCCCCATCAAAATCCCAGCACAATTCTTTAAAAAAAAAAAAGATTTATTTGTTTATTATGTATACAACTTCTGCCTCCATGCATTCCAGAAGAAGGCACCAGATCTCATTATAGATGGCTGTGAGCCACCATGTGGATGCTGGGAATTGAACACAAGACCTCTGGAAGAGCAGCCAGTGCTCTTAACCGCTAAGCCATTTCTCCAACCCCCCGCACAATTTTTCACAGACCTCAAAAGAACAATACTCAACTTTATATGGAAAAACAAAAACAAAAAAAAGAGGAATTGCCCAAACATTCCTGTACAAGAAAGGAACAGCTGGAAGCATCATCATCCCTTACTCCAAGCTCTATTATAGAGCTAAACTTGGTACTGGCATAAAAACAGACAGGTGGACCAACAGAATCAAATCGAAGACCCTGATATTAATCTACACACCTATGAACAACTGATTGTTGACAAAGAAGCCAAAATTGTACAATGGGAAAAGAAAGCATCTTCAACCAATGGCGCTGGCATAACTGGATGTCAACTTGTAGAAGAATGCAAATAGATCTATATCTATCCCCATGAACAAAACTCAAGTCCCAATGGATAAAAGACCTCAATATAAATCCAGCCACATTGACACAGGAGACCACTTCCTAAATATAACACCAGCAGCATAGACACTGAGAGAAACAATAAATAAATGGGACCTCCTGAAACCGAGTAGCTTCTATAAGGCAAAGGATAGGCTGGAGAGATGGCTCAGTGGTTAAGAGTACTGACTGCTCTTCCAGAGGTTCTGAGTTCAATTCCAGCAACCACATGGTGGCTCACAAACATCTGTAATGAGATCTGGCGTCCTCCACTGGCGTGTGGGCATACAGGGAGGCAGAATGTTGTATACATAATAAATAAGTAAATCTTTTAAAAAATTTATTTAAAAAAAGGCAAAGGACATCGTCAATAAGACAAAACGGCAGTCTACTGAATGGGAAAAGATCTTCACCAACCCCACATCAGACAGAGGAGTGATCTCTAAAATATATAAAGAACTCAATAAACTTGACATCAAAATACCAAATAATCCAATTATAAAATGGGGTATAGATCTAAACAGTGGATTTTCAACAGAAGAATCTCAAATGGTCAAAAGACACTTAAGGAAATGTTCAACATCTTAAGTCATCATAGAAATGCAAATCAAAACAACTCTGAGATAGCATCTTTTACCAGTAAGAATGGCTAACATCAAAACCACCAATGATAGCTTATGCTGGAGAGGATATGGAGCAAGGGGAACACGCCTCCATTGCTGGTTGGAGTGCAAACTTGTACAGCCACTTTGGAAATTAGTATGGCGGTTTCTCAGAAAATTGGGAATCAACCTACTTCAGGATCCAGCAATACCACTCTTGGACATATACCCCAAAGATATCATACTACAAGGACATTTGCTCAACTGTGTTCATAGCAGCATTATTTGTATATGCCTGAAGGCCAGAAGAGGGCACCAGACCTCATTACAGATGGTTGTGAGCCACCATGTGGTTGCTGGGAATTGAACTCAAGACCTTTGGAAGAGCAGCCAGTGCTCTTAACGTCTGAGCCATCTCTCCAGCCCCTGCATAGCAGCATTATTTGTAATAGCCAGATCCTAGAAATAACCTAGATGCCCTTCAACTGAAGAATGGAAAAAGTAAATGTGGTACATTTACACAACGGAGTACTACACAGCAGTAAAAAAAAAAGACATCTTGAAATTTGCTTGCAAATGAATGGAACTAGAAAAAACCATCCTGAGTGAGGTAACCCAGACCCAGAAAAAAAAACACAGTATGTACTCACTCATACGTGGATATTAGACGTAAAGAAACAAAAAAACTAGCCTATAGTCCACAACCCCAGAGAAGCTAGGTAACAAGGAGAATCCTAAGAGAAACATAAATGGATCCCCTGGGGAAATAGACAAGATCTCCTGAGAAAATTGAGAGCGTGGTGGCGGTGGAAAGGGAAGAGGAGGGGAGAAGGGGCGGGGGGAAGGAGATCATGAGGGAATGTGATGCTCAAGAAGGGGGAAGGACAGGGAGGGAGAGCAAGGAAGCCGTTATGGGGCTAGTGAGGAACATGGCACTAGGGAAATTACCAGTAATCCATAAAGACCCTAAGCAACAGAGGAGAGGGTGCCTGAACTGGCCTCACCCTGTAATCAGATTGATGACTATTTTAATTGTCACCATAGAACCTTCATCCAGCAACTGCTGAAGCAGATGCAGAGATCCACAGTGAAGCACTGGGCTGAGCTCCCAAAATTCAGTGGAAGAGAGGGAGGAGTGAGAATATGAGCAAAGGAGTCAAGATCATGATGGGGACACCCACAGAGACAGCTGACCTGAGCTAATGGGAGCTCGTCAACTCTGTATTGACAGAGGGGGAACTTTTATAGGACTAATCTAGGCCCTCTGAATGTGGGTGACAGTTGTGCAGCTGGGGCAGTCTGTGCGTCATTGGCAGTGGGACCAGGATTTATCCCTAGTGCTTGAACGGGCTTTTTGGAACCCATTCTCTTTGGAGGGACACCTTGCTCAGCCTAGATATAGTGGGGGAGAGCCTTGGTCCTGTCTCAAAATGAAGTGACAGACTTTGCTGACTCCCTATGGGAAGCCTCACTCTGAGGAATGGATGGGGGCTAGGGCTGAGGGAAAGGTGGAAGGAGCAGGAGGAGGGGAGGGAGTGGAAACTGGGATTGGTATGTAAAATGAGAAAAGACTGTCTTAAAAATAAATAAATTTAAATAAAAAATAAAGATGCATACTATTTCAGCTTTCTGGTGCTTTGCTTTTCCTGGTGCTTTAATTTTTAAAACTTCCACTTCTTAAAAAACATTTTAAATTGAAAATCTTTACCCCACTACAAAATGATATTTAGGTGTAAATTTAGGCCTAAAATATGTCACATTATTTTTTTTTTAATTTTAACTGTGCTGTCAAAATATAGTCAGAGGCTAGACATATAATTCAGTGATGGAGTGTGGTTAACAGGCCTGAGTCTCAGAGTCTGATCTGCAGCACATAACCCCAACACACAGACACACACACACTAGACACACACACACAAGAGGCAGGGGGAGGGAGGAGGAAAAGAAGGGAGTGTGTTAATAAAAGGCCAGTCTGACAGTTTAAAACAACAGCTGAAATGTATTACTTTTTAGTTTATTGAAACTATTTTACTATTTTAACTGTTTATAAATATAACTATTTCATGCAAAACTATACACTAGAAACAGGTTCCTTTATATACATTACACATATTGTTTACTTACAAAGTAACTTGTTAGCATGTTAATTGTTATTAAACTAGCTTAAAGTGAGTTATTCCATCATACACAATATTATATTTATCCAAGTTTACATAATATTCTAGGATGAGCACTGGTCTATAGCATGAAGCAATAAGAGCTACTCATTTTCCAGCCTCAATTTTGTCACCTATGAACAACATGATCTTCAAAAAGTCACTTTACCTTTCAGTCACTCAACCAACATTTGAATACCCAAAATTAACTAGACACTCTTTTAGGCACTAAAAGGGAAGTAGTATATGCCTAAATAGACCATCTTTTCCTCTTGGTGTGCATTAGTTACTATGGAAACATCAGGATATCAGAGTTTAAGTATCTCAACATTCCCAAGTTCTATTAGAGTATGAAAGAAATTTCTATCATTGTACTGGGGGAAGCAGTTATTGCCGTTACAAATGAAGGCAGGGCAAAAAATCATATTACCAGACAAGTACAGGCTTTATTCAGACAACACCAGATAATGGTTAGGGTTCATCTTACCTGTTCACACTATATACCAAGAGCCAAGTAGGGAATGTAGAGATGCCTCAGTCATTAAGTATACTTGCTGCTCTTGCAGAGGATCCAGGTTGGATTCCCAGCATCCATTTTAGGCAGCTTACAACGATCTGCAACTCTAGTTCCAGAAGATCCAGTACCCTCTGTTTTCTCTATGGGCACCTGCAGATTCCTCACTACAGTTATCAATGAGGTCCCCCAAAAATAACATCTATTTATATTTATAAGAACATAAGACATCAGCTTCATTTATTTATTTATTTATTTATTTGGTTTTTCGAGACAGGGTTTCTCTGTAGCTATGGAGCCTGTCATGGAACTCACTTTGTAGACTAGGCTGGCTTTGAACTCACAGAGATCCACCTGCCTCTGCCTCCCAAATGCTGGGATTAAAGACATGCACCACCACCACCACCCCACCAGCCTTGACTCTTTCAAGTCAGAACTTAAGAACAGCTTTAAAAATTAGTTTCCAGAGCTCACTATTATTTCAGTTCTCACATAGACATACATGTATGCACAATAAATAGACATTGACAAACACCAATGCACATAAAATAAAAAAATTAGTCATTTAAAAAAATTAGTTGCCGGGCGTGGTCATGCACATCTTTATCCTAACACCCAGAAGGCAGAGACAGGCAGATCCGTATGCACTTAAGTTCAGCCTGGCCTACTTAGTGAATTTCAGGTTAGCCAGGTCTATGTAATGAGATATTGTTTCCAAAGATTAGTGAGGAGTTGAGCCAGGTGCTGGTGGCACATGCCTTTAATCCTAGCACTCAGGAGGCAGAGGCAGGCAGATCTCTGTGAGTTTGAGGCCAGTCTGGTCTACAAGTGCTAGTTCCAGGACAGGCTCCAAAACTACAGAGAAACCCTGTCTCAGGAAAAAAAAAGTTTATAGCATCATTAAAACACACAAGTTGGCTTGATAATCCAGAATCTTGTTTCTGTAGCAGGATAAATTAGATCTTATTCACTAGCCTGCTTTACTGTTCCTTGTACAGAAACACAGATGCCATCAAAAATGTTCTGATTGCCTTGTTTTTTAATTGTTATAGCTTGCTGAATCAAAGAAGCTGAATTTGAAACAAGTTCAGTATCTTTTCTTTCAAAAATTAATGTACCTTTCTGGGCTTGATAAACAGAAAAAGCAACATCTATCCTCATCTGAACCCTGCAGATACTTTTTTCATACAAGAAATTTCAACAAGAGACTCATTATCCGGAATAATAATATTGATAGGGAAGTAAGTTTACATGGACCTCACCTTGTAACGGAAGCCCAGTGCACCACAGTTGAATCATATTCTGTACGTGGCCATAGATAGCCTTTCTTTTTGCCTATCATTTGTCAACCCAGAGCCTCTTCCTTCTCTTTTCATTGAGGCTGAGGTCCATATTGCTATGATTCAAGATCCTCCAAAGGCTTCCTCTGGGGCCCTTCGCCATAACAGTGCACCCATTCAGAGTGGTGACAACAGTTTCTGGAATATCCTTGGTGTGATTGCTGAGAATGGTTTTCATTCTCTCCATAGATCTGGTTTTAAAAAAATAAAGCCGCACTAATCATTTATGAGCATAAATCAATTTCTTCTGGCAGAGGCAGACTTATTTCTGATCAACTGTCCCATACCACAATAAATATAGAAGCTGCATGACCAGGCATGGTGGTGCTAACCTGCAATCTCAGAATCCAGGCAGTTGAAATAGATGGTAAGGCCTTGTCTCAAGGAAAAAATGCTGGAAAGCACTATAAATATATTGTTTTAACTTGATCACACTGGAGGGCCTCCAAGATATCAAGGAATTGACAAGCTGAAATTCTGGACCTGAGGGAAATGTAGGAAGGAATGGGACGAGCCAGATAGAGATGTGGTTACATCTTTGCTTCTAAGCAACTTGCCAGCTTGAAATCTGTGGATGAAATGTTAAAAACCAGTGAAATGATGATGAAAAAATAACAGTGTCAGAGACTCTCAGAGATGTAATAGAACTTCCATGAGGAAAATAGAGCTGAGGATCCATGGAGGAAGAGTAATCATAGTAAATACCACAAAAGTCTCAGTCTACCCACTCCCAATCGCTAGAACCTTAACCATTGGGATAAGAGTGAATGAGAACAAGATGAGTCTTATGAAAACTGAAGGTCAGTCCCAATCTCTAATCAGATTATGATGGTCACTTATCCTTGCTTTGTGTTCTTGCCAAAGGAAGAAAAAATAAATATCATCTAGAAGAAAAGAGTATCAACCAGCAGCAACTCTACATTTTATGCTTTGTTCTACACTTAATTACCAATAATGGGCCATACAAAAATACAACCACTAGCCAAAATCATGAGAAAAAGGTCAGGACAATAAACCCTGACATAAAAAAGATTCAGATATTAAAATTTTCAATCATAGATTTTAAATAACTACAATTAACATATTCATGACATAAGGGATAATTTCAGCAATGTGTGATTGCTTACATGCTATATTAGTTGCTTCCTATTTGTAGAAATAAGAGCAGCGGGGCTGCTTCCCGCCACCCGGCTAGCTTTACGCGAAATAATTACACAGAAACTGTATTCTTTTGAACACTGCATGGCCCATTAGTTCCAGCCTCTTATTGGCTAGCTCTTACATATTGATCTAACCCATTTCTAATAATCTGTGTAGCCCACAAGGTGGCTTCAGGGAAGATCTTAACCTGCGTCTCTCTGGAGTGGGAGAATCATGGCGACTCTGACTCAGCTTCTTTCTCCCAGCATTCTGTTCTGTTTACTCTGCCTATCTAAATTCTACCCTATCAGAGGGCCAAGCAGTTTCTTTATTAATTAACCAATGAAAGCAACAGATAAGATACAAAACCCACCTCCATCACCTATTGCTGTGATAAAACACCATCCTCATTCAAATCTTTATACATGCCGGGCAGTGGTGGTGCATGCCTTTAATCCCAGCACTCGGGAGGCAGAGAGGCAGGCAGATCTCTGTGAGTTCGAGGCCAGCCTGGTCTACAAGACCAGAACATGCTCCAAAGCTACAGAGAAACCCTGTCTCAAAAAAAAGACCCAAAAAATCAAATCTTCATACATGCAGAAGGATTATATTAAGGAACTGGGTTAAGATTATATTAAGGAAACACTATACTGAGTGAGGTAAACCAGACCCAAAAAGAGGAACATGGGATGTACTCACTCATATTTGGTTTCTAGCCATAAACCAAGGACATTGAGCCTATAATTAGTGATCCTAGAGAAGCTAAATAAGGAGAACCCAAAGAAAAACATATATGAAGTAATAAGGGTGGCGGCGGGGCTGCGTCCCCAACACCCCAGCCGCCCGCTCAGCTAGCTTATGCCCCGAAATAATTACACGGACACTGTATTCTTTTAAACACCACTTGGCCCATTCTCTTCTAGGCTAATTCTCACATATTAATTTAGCCCATTTCTAATCATTTGTGTATGGCACCCCAAGGTGCGCTTACCAGGAAGATTCTAGCCTATGTCCATCCTGGGTCGGAGCTTCATCCCGGGAGCAGGGCATGGCGTCTCTCTCAGGCATCTGCTCCAGAGAGAAGAGCTGTGGCGTCTGAGCTCACTTCCTGTTCCTCCCAGCGTTCTGGTCTGATTACTCCACCTACCTATGTCCTAACCAATAAAATGGGCCAGGGCAGTTCCTTTATTAGCCAATGACCTTCCTCCATCATTTCCCCTTTTTCGGTTTAAACAAAAAAAAGGCTTTAACATAGCAAAATTACATATAACAAAACAGTTATCAAGTAAAAGTTACAATAATCTTTATCATAACTAAGGAAAACTATAACTATAACTAACTATTCTTAACTCCATCAAAGACTCCAGAAAGATACAATACTACCTAAGCAAACAAGAAAAAAGCAACTTTTAAAACTCTAGAAATGACAGAGACATCTCGCTGCCTGGACAGTCACCCAAAGTTCTTTTGTATCTTGGGGCATCCATCTTCAGCCTTCAGGCCCATGGTATCCAGCAGACATTTCCATAAAGCAGGAAAATTCAAAGTCAGTTCAGTCACTATCTGTTGTGTCCTGCAGAATGTCTCGCAGACTCTTTCATGAATCAGGAACCCCGAAAGATCATCTCACCTTAGGCAAGTTCAGTAGTCCTCTCTCTGCAGGTTCTCTGTGTCCAGTTTATGCAATAGTCCAGGCAAGAGCAGTTTCTTGCCCAAATGGCTATCAAACTCCATAAGGTGCCTCTTTGATGACCATCTTCCTCTTGAAGTAGATTGGTGCTGCCAGGAGCGGAGTGTCTCATTGTCATGAAAAGTCCTCAGTTATTAAAACATTAAATGTCCTATTCTGTAATCTTTGAAAGACATGAAGAATGTCTATCAAACTGAAATACATCTCTATATATCTAGAAAATCTAACTAACATGACGACAAGCTTTACTATTATCGATGATTATGCATTAACAACCTATATTTCTTAATTATACAGTACATATTTAAATGAACTACACAATCACAATACCTTAATCAAAATCAGAAACACTTATACATATAACAAAATTGACCTTAAATCTCTATCAATAAAGCAAAATCTATACTAATGCAAATTATTCATATCTATATCATATCCCCCTTTAAATGTAAAAGAACGTTTATAAACCATATTTGGGAACATGGGCGCAGTTTTTTCTCTCCAAACTGCTTCCTGCTGAATGGGGGCGTCGTTTATTAGGTCTTTCATGGTATAACCTGTGTGTTAGCTTCATCTCAGTTGGCAGTTGAGCGAAGCAATTTTTTGAAGGCGTTCACACCAACCCTTCAGGAGGGCGTGGTCCATCATACCAAATCGGAATAGAAGAAATGAACAGCGTCTCATCCTCTGTGAAAACAAAATATGAAACTCCTTTCCAAAGTATCATGTCCTTAGATCCAAATTTCAAATTTAAGGCATTTTCAAAGTATCTATGTTGGATTAGTTCAGCAGCATTTATAAACAAATATCTTTTAGCAGTTGTTTGTCCTTCCTCAGCATTCAAACAATTGAAAGAGAGCATAATAGCATACAGTATCAAAATTCTCTGTGTATTTTCCATCTTTGTGCAGCTGTGTTTTAACCTCTATTTTGTTTATTTTTACTTTTAACTCTTTGCTTTTTGAGGCAGGTTCTCTGTATCTTTGACCTGAAGTAACTCTGTAGACCAGGCTGTCTTTGAACTCTCAGAGATCCGCCTGTCTCTGCCTCCCAGGCATTGGGATTAAAGGTGTATACTACTACACCTTGAACTCACAGAGATCTGTTTGTCTCTGCCTTCTAGGCACTGGGATTAAAGGCGTGTGCTACCACACACAACAACTCTCTTCCTTTTTTTATGTTTTTTACTTTAAGAACTTCAACTTTTAGTCTGCATATATTTTTAACACACAGTAAACCATTTAGAAATTTTCTTTGGCTTTGAATCTCTCTTTACTGTATATCTCTCTTTTTCTGACCACAAGAGTCTTTCATTTACCAAGCAATATCAGTAGGATTAAAGGCGTGGCTTTGTCGGCTGGATCCAGCCCATTTCTTAGCTTTCCAGCCTCATGGCTGAGGTACTGGCTGTAGCCAGAAAGCAAGCTTCAGCAGCCTGTGCTTACAAACCGCACAAACCGCCTGCGTAAAAGAGTCAGAGTTTGCCCTGGCAGGACAGCCCAGAAAGCTGGTGTTTTTAAACGGTGCAGCTTTTTTCCTGCTACGGGTGAAAACCAAAAAGCATGCGTTCAGCTTTTCGTCAACACCATTTAAGTGTTTCATGGCAGGACCTCTTAATGAGCTGCAGGCTTTGCAGCTAAAGCTGAGTCAGGAAGCCTCTCTTAGATGAAAGCGCATGCTTGCCTCTAACAAGCAGAGCAGGCCCGAGAACACAGCGAGTCTAGTTGCCATCAAACAAATCATAGCACTTTACTCCAAATGCTCTATTCAAAAGCTCTGTCTCCTGCAGGAGCCAGACAGAGCAATGGCGGCACAGCCCCAGGAAGTCACGCTTTAAAATGACACAGCGTTTTTTCTGCTACTGTTGCCGAATCAGGAAATCTCTCTACAGCACGCCACCAACAAACAGCAAAAATCTGTGTTAAACTCTCGCTCCCTTATTTAAGTCTTCTCAGGTTTTTTAAGTGGGTTTAGTCCATCACGTGGGGCGCCATATGAAGTAATAAGGGTGGCGGCGGGGCTGCGTCCCCAACACCCCAGCCGCCCGCTCAGCTAGCTTATGCCCCGAAATAATTACACGGACACTGTATTCTTTTAAACACCGCTTGGCCCATTCTCTTCTAGGCTAATTCTCCTTCTTCTTTTTTTTTTACCACTATACAAACGAGGATAGGCTAATTCTCACATATTAATTTAGCCCATTTCTAATCATTTGTGTATGGCACCCCAAGGTGCGCTTACCAGGAAGATTCTAGCCTATGTCCATCCTGGGTCGGAGCTTCATCCCGGGAGCAGGGCATGGCGTCTCTCTCAGGCGTCTGCTCCAGAGAGAAGAGCTGTGGCGTCTGAGCTCACTTCCTGTTCCTCCCAGTGTTCTGGTCTGATTACTCCACCTACCTATGTCCTAACCAATAAAATGGGCCAGGGAAGTTCCTTTATTAGCCAATGACCTTCCTCCATCACATATAGGCATCATCCTGAATATTAACC